AGAGAATAATCCCTAGCTAGAAATTTTATAAACATCACTACAACATAAAGCAACCTGGTGCACTTTATATCTGTGTTCAGTGTATTGTTATTAAATTTAATTTTGCATTGATTAAGAGAGACAATTCATTAAATTATTATATTTCTCTTCAAAGAGAAATTTGACTGGGGAAAGATTCTTACTTAAGTCATTTTTTCATATCACAGGCATCCCATGAAACTTCCTAGCACAGCAGACTTTTAATCCAGTGAAGAACAACAACACATTTTATTTAAAACTTAAGTTTTAATCTGGAGTCCTGTGTGATTACAACACCTTTCCATGTAAAAGCATTTGAAATTTGTTGGTGTTTTTGGTTTTGTGTTTTTTTAAATAGGGCCTCTGCCCCTCCAAACTGCAACACATCAGCTTACTAGAATCCCTGTTGTTGAGCTAATAGAGTTTGGTGACTGTCAGCAGCTCAGATCAACTGCAAAGCCAGTTACTGCAGGGGATAGAGCAACTTCTGCAACAAGAACTTCTATATTCCCAATATCTGTTTTATAAAAAGGAGCCATTTACTTCATACTTGGAACACAAGCCCTGTGAGGAACAGCTAAGGGAGATGGGGCTGTTTAGTCTGGAGAAAAGGAGACTCAGAGGTGACCTTATCCCTCTCTACATCTTCCTGAAAGGTGAGTGTAGTCAGGTGGGGGTCAGTCTCTTTTTCCAGACAACAACTGACAGAAGGAGAGGACAGTCTCAAGCTGTGCCAAGGGAAATACAGACTGGATATTAGGAAAAAGTGCTTTATGGACAGAGTTATAAGGTATAGGAATGATGTATCCAGGGAGGTGGCAGAGTCACCATCCCTGGATGTGTTTAAAAAGAGATTGGATGTGTTACTCGGTGCCATGGTCCAGTTGAGGTGCTAAGGCTGGGTTGGACTCAGTGATCTTGAAGGTCTGTTCCAACCTTGTCATTCTGTGATTCGCTACTATTCACCAGCACTGCAGTAACAGTAACAATACAAATAAGAGAAAAAATGAGGAAGAAGAGATGAAGTACTGCCACTGCTAGAGTATACTTCTCTCCCTAACAGTGCCTGCTACATCTCCCTCATTTGTGATTTGGAAGATATCCTGGTCCACTCCAATTCTCTAGCAGTGGAAACTAAGATAGAATTTCTTATCATTGACAAAGTCAAAAGGAACATATTGATATTATTTCACAAATTCATTATTACAAAGGATTAACCAGGCTAGAAAGGTTAGCAAATCTGGAGTAGAGTGCAGAAATAACATGAAAGAAGGATGCTTTGGAAGGCAAGAGTACTTCAAAGGGCACAAATTATGTCACTTCAAAAGGAAAATGCAAAACCATTATGACTTAAAGTGTACCCCTATTGAAGTGTTATTGCAGCTTTTCCACTTTGTACTGTATGTGTGGTAAAGGATGGTACAGCTTAACATGAACAGGGCACTAGTAGGCCCAATACAATGCTAAGAATGGTGCCAGTGTAGCTGCTAACATCAAAAAAAAAAGAACAGATGGGAACTCCTTAATCCTCTTTCTCACCGTCCTTGACTCTCTCCTAGGTAAATCGACATCTGTTGTCTTGATTCTGTTGACTGCTGAGTATCTCTCATCTCCCCACATTCCCAACTGCGAGCAGCAGCGTGGCACAGCACACCAGTGATTCATGCCAGACATGCACTTACATTCCTCATTTTAAATGTAAACTTCAGTACCATTCTCAAGCTTCATGTCTGGTTGCAGCATCCAGGACTTCCTTGCTCAGAAGCATCACTGGGAAGGAAGCCAGTCTTGCTTTAATTTGGGCAAGCTCTCAGATGAATATCTTTTTACAAACACCTGTAAACTTCTGAATACTCAGTAGCAATGACATTCATGGGGAACAGAAAATTTCTTTTCAGCTTCAATAACACAAAGGACATCTGAATAAGATTTCTTGGACTAAGAAATCCATAGGGGAATTAAGCACCCAGACCACTTTTAGCGGCAGAGAAGCATATATCCTAAATGTGGCATAAAGACACCGATAACTACACTGTGTAAGTGAATATGGAAGGAGAATTTTAGAGTAGTCAAATGGCATGAAAACCTTGGATAGAGAAATGAAAATGCTTTTTCTTTGATCAAGACGCAGATCTAGAAAAATCTCCTTGAGATGTATAAACAGGGAAAGGAGTAAAATGAAAATAGGCCCCAAATGCAATATGATACTACTTGAAGAGCAAGTCATAATGCAGAATTAGTATAGTTAGTATAATTAAGTTACTGATTTAAACTGCTGCAAATATGTGGTGTATGGTATGTATTCTGTTATCATTAAAATGCTGAGTGATGTTTATGTAACTGGAAATCTTTGTGCTCATCTTGATCAAAAGAGAAGTTAGTCTGTTTCCCTACAATGTGAGAAGTGGGATGGAAGTTATGGTGACATGAATTCATAGTTCCAGATTCAAGCTACAGAGGGGGAAGAAACCAGAGGTCCTTATTCCATAGCTAGACATGCTGTCAAACGACTGCTGTAAGGCAACACTGTATGTGGCAGTGCCATCTGGTGACTGATGCTGGGACCAAGTCCTCTAGAATTATTATCTAGCACAGAGATTTATTGTATGAAATAATAAATCCTCCATAGTTTTCCAAAGCTCATTATGTGAAGTGCCGAACTGACATTGACACTTCCAATTTATATTATTGTAACAATATTTGTAATGTAAACACTGACAGAATATTTGGAAACTATAGTACTTACACATATCAAACAGAAAGGGTTCTCAGAGTAGGACAGCTTAGTAATTAGCCATAGCAGGTAAATGCAGTTGAGGCAAGAGAAAAAACAGAAATATTAAAATTAGCCTTCCTTTATGGAGAAGATCAGCAATCTCAGCTTCTTTACTTCCTCAGTGACACAAAGTCATACATAATTAAGAGACATAGCCCAGTAACTCAACTAAATGCCAGGGAATTTTTTCACCTTCTCTCAGAAAAGCCTTGGAAACAAGAATCAGGAAGTCTTTCCAAGCACCCGGGACTGGGTATGAGGAATGCTGAGCATCATCCTATTGATTCGTGGGCTGGTTTTGGCTGGGGATTAATTCCTTTTCTTTACAGAAGCTAATAGAGGGCTGTTTTAGGTTTGTGCTGAAAACATTGTTAATAATAATAGAGATTTCTGTTGTTGCTGCTGAGCAAAGCCAAGGCCTTTTCTGCTTCTCACACCACCAGTGAGGGTGCTGGGGGTGCGCAAGTAGTTAGGAGGGGACAGTTGGGACAGCTGATCCCAACTGACCCAAGGGATATCCAATACCATATGACATCATGCTCAGTATATAAAGTGTGGAGTGGGGGGAAGGAGGAACAGTTGGAGTGATGATGTTTGTCTTCCCAAGTAACCATCAGGCAGGGAGGCCCTGCTTCCCTGGGGATGGCTGAACAACTGCCTGTCCTTGGCAAGAGGCGAATGAATTCCTTGGTTTGCTTTGCTTGCCTGTGCAGCTTCTGCTTCACCTATTGAACTGTCTTTGTCTTAAGCCATGAATTTTCTCACCTTCACCCTTCAGATTCCCTCTGTTGTCCCTCAGAAGGGGGACAGAGCAAGCAGCTGTGTGGTGCTTGGTTGTCAGGTGAGGTTAAACCACAGCACCTCATACAGTAAAGAGCCAAGAGCAGATCTGTATGAGTATGGACACTGCTGTACAATAAAAGCAAAAATAAAGGAAGTATTTGGCCAAAATCTCACAGTGACAAGCAAATCCAGTAATGAGCTGGCTGAGCCTCAGGAAGGAAGCACTGCAACAGCATACCATGGAAGCTGAGGTCAAGGCACTCAGGTCAGGTGCTGACCTGCAACAATCCAGCTTCCTAATGAAGCAAATGCCCAGCAAGTTATCAGCCAAACCAACGGGTATGTAACCATACTAAAAATCTGTCTGGGAAAGGAGCTCTACCATGATCAACCACATAATCTTGGACAGGAAGAGGCTTCTCAGTTTTAAGTGTTTTCCCACCCCCCAGTCCCCAGCCATTAGTAGAGGTTCTTCAGTGATACAGTATTTTTTTTCTCTGCAGGAGGATCAAATGACTCAAGACATGTTTTTATGTTATTCCAGTACCTGCAAGGTCTTAACAGAACCACCCTGCATGCCTCTGCAAAGGAGTGGAAATTACACTCTCATTATACCTACAGCCAAGAAGGTAATAAAACATTCAAACAAGGCAAATCAGAAAAAGTAACATTCTTCCCCCAATTTATCACCTCTCTATCTTTATTTTTAATTCATTCAAGGCAATGTGTCTTCAAGTGTTCAAACAGAGCACAAAGGCTTAAAAGGGGGAAGGTAAAAAATAAAGGGGGTGGGTCTACAATGAACAAGAAGGTTAAAGAAAGGCAGTACAATTTTATGGAGGCAGAAACAGAGACATGCTTTTATTTGGCCGAAGTGTGCAGAAGCTAAATATATAAAACCCTAGTGCACAGATTACTTCAGCCATTTGTGCACACCTTCTGCGGAGCTTTCTAAAAAATAGCTTCCTGCAAGTGGGCTGGTGTGTTTGAAACTTATGGGAAAAAAAAAGTCATGTGACAAAGACAAGTCATAGCTAGGACATTCCTTCATTATTCCGTCCCCTGAATTTGTTGACTGTGCAAGACCCC